TATTAATTTCCAGGAATTACAGGAACTGAGGAGCACTTCAAATAACACCATAGGAATGCAATAACAAAATCCAGATTATAGGAAAGAACAGGTCAGAGGATCCAGTTTCTTCAACGTATTAACCAATTGCAGTGTATGGACTTTACTTGGAGCCTAATTTAAACAAATATCTGCTAAAACAAAAAAAAATTATAACCCAATTAGGGAGGTTTGAACACTGACTAGCTATTTGATGATATTGAGAAATTGTCATTTTAATTGTAATTTTTAAAAAAATAGTTCTTGATCCTTTAGAGGTAAATACTGAAATATTGATAAAATGATATGCAATCAGAGATATGTTTCAAAATAATTGAGGAAGGAGACTAGGGATGCAGAAAAATAAAGATGAGCTTTGAGTTAATGTTGAAACTGGGTGATACACACATAGGGGATTGTTATACTAGTGTGTCATTTCTGTACATGTTTGAAAATTTCTATAATTTTATTTAGCAGGAATCAGACTTTTAAAATATATCCTGGCAATTGTTTAAAGCAACACAATTTTGAGGGCATCTAAGTGATTTACACTGCAGGGATAGCAAGAGAATATTGGAATCTAGGTCCAAGAATTATAATTGCAATCCAAACCCGAGGTGGTATAATGAAAATTATTTGAAATCAGATCGAACTAGTTTGTATCCTAACAAACTGATTTGTCATATACCCCAAATCCACTTATTATAGTGAGCTCTTGTTCATCTTTGCCAATTCCAAATCATTATTCCTTCCTCCTAAAAATCCACAATTTTTTTTGAAGTACATGGCAACAAACTATATCACCTGCTGCTTCTGCTTTTTATAGTCATCTACCAACTTCCCCTTCAATTAGTTCTAGTGTCCGCCTCACTATCTTTTTCTTTCCACCATTTTTCGGACATCACTCTTGGTGGTTTCATTACTCACAAAAAGGATCCATCAATACCCTGGCCTATTGCCTCCTTGAACTTCTCTTTTCTTCCACCCACCTCAGCCACACAATCCCAGAGTCACATTAGACTTTGTCATAACCAATGACTGCAAACTCTCTAGACACCAGTTTCTATTTTCTAGCTCACTCCCTCCAGCACCCAGACTCCAGCAACACTTTGATCCCGCTATCCCTCCAGTCTATCACTGCCCTCTGTCCTTTCTTCAATGCTTTTCCAGTTTAGATTGGAAAGTTCTTGTATAATCATTCCCTTGTGTACATCCTCAACTCTCTTGTCTCTCTTTCCCATAGTCCTAACTCACTTGGCAAAACCTCAATTCTGGTTAAAACTAACTTTCCCACATACTTTGCATTGACCCTTGGACAGCTTAATGTTGCTGGAGAAAAACACATCACAAACTTCAAGCAGTCCTTCAGTGCTGCTAAACAACGCCATCAAATTTCCTTAATCCACTCATTTTCTCTTTCTCAACTTTTTGACACCACCACCACCCCCTCCTTGCTCTCAATTAGGACTTATCTTTTTGCTGCACTGAGATAACAGAAACATTAGAGGAGAACTTCCTCATCCTTCCACCACCAAATCTACCAGCTGGCATTATTTGTTCTCTAATATCTCCAGCCCCCACCTCCTCCCCCTCACCCCCACATTTCCACCTTTATAGCAGATGAGCTGCCCTGCACCTACCTGAAGCCAGCCAACTCTCTGACATCCTCTACCACTGTCCTCTCCTCCCTCCGCTTATTGCCCTCCAGTCACACTGGCTTCCATGTTCCCCCACACCAAACACACTCCTGCCTCACAGTCTTTGCATTTGCTTTTCCCTCTGCCCAAAATGATTTCCGCATGACTCGCTCTATCAAGTCTCACTTCAAATGTTACCTCCTCAGAGAGCCTTCCCTGACTATCTAAAATGATACTCCTGACACACTTATTTTGATTTATGTTTCTTCATTGTACTT